GGTCTATGGCCTTTTCGTCGTACATAGGCAAGGGACCAAAAAAAGAAGCATAATAGTAATCTAAACATTGCCCCAAAGAATCAAGTCTAAAACGAGGATCAAGAATAAATGCAATACTATATATGCGGAATATGTGAATAATATTTTAAAAACTTTTGTTTCATGAAATCACAAAAATAACTAACGTAAGCGGCATCAGGAAATTCACAAAAAGTGCCAGCGAGATTAACAGCTTCAACAAAAAATTGGTTTGCGGTAGGTTTATAAACATGACTAAAAGTTTGAGTTGCATTATTAAAAAATATCAAAACATTCACAATTTTTTCACAAGTGTCGATGTCGGCCGGGTTTATAATATAGTTAGCATATTCTCTTAAAAAAAGCAGGAAAATGGTTTTTAAATCTAATAAGCACCTTAATTAAGTTATAAGTACTATTCCAACGAATAGACAAATCTTTAGGAAAAGCACAATACTTGACACGTCTTTCTTTCAAATAATTTTTCCATTGCATCTTAAGTTGATTACTAGCCCAAATAAGTTTAATCCCCCCTTCACAACCTCCATAGCATCTCCCAACGCCGCTAACCTGTCTTTTACACATAAATTTAAAATATGACATGCACAACACTGATGAAAAAACCTACCCATCAAAGAAGATGAACCACACAATTCACGCAATCTAGGAATAGCACCAGTATTATTACTAGCATTATCAAAACCAATAGCAAACACCTTATTAATCAAATTATACTCAATTAAAATACGCTCAATGAGAATATAAATATTATCACCGGTGTGTCGATCATTAAATTCACGAAAAGCAAGAACACATTTATGCATACACCAATCATCATCGATATAATGTGCAGTCACGCCCAAATAATATAAATGATGATGATCATCCTCCCATATATCACTACATATACTAACACGTCCATCAAAGTTTGCGAAAAATATTTGTAATTTTTGCTTTTCCAAAACATATTGCCTTATAACTTCTTTTTTAATTGTTTTGCGACTATAGTTTCGAAATTGAGGATTTAAAGTACCTTGAGCATATTCTTTTAAAGCAAGACTTTCGGAAAAAATAAAAGGCAAATTTTCTTCAACAATTAAACGAGACATATCAGTCAAATGTTTTTTATCATCATAGGAGAAATTACCGAAGGGTTGACCAGTTGTAAACCTTGAAATTTGTGTTTGCTTTCCCTTGCCTTTGTCCGATTTCGCATACACCGCCGGGTGCTTGACCTTAAGATGCCTTGTGGCGCTCCCGTACCCTCCAGAAGTTTCCAAGTTATACACTTTTGAGCAATGCTTGCAAGCCGCGTACCATATCTCGATTTGGAGGTCTTTGGTCTTTGCAAAATTGGCCTTAAAGACAGATTCAACTTTGTCACTGCCTTGGGAAGAACCAGCCTCTTCCGCTTGCTCTTCCTCATCGTCCGGTGTGCCGTGAACCTCGTCCTCGACTGTTTGCGGATCCCCCTCCTCCGCATCATCATCCTCGAGCTCTTCTTCTTCAATGATCGGGATGTCTTGTTGATGCAAAAAGCGCCTTTGATGTTGTTGCAATAGTTGTGCTAGTTGCTCATCGGACATCGCATCCCCATCTCTCCGGTTGTAATCCGCATCAAAATCATCTCGGGTTTGAGATGAAGACCCGTCCCGTCCCTTACCTTTGCGTGAGCTTGGATGATTCCTCGCAATCTCCTTTCTTCGGTTGCAGTGGAGGTTACCCATATCCACAGAAGCTCTATCACGTTCCATCTTAAAAATATAACAAATATTAAATTCGAAGTACAATTAAACTAGTTAATTTGAAATACAAATCTAACAATTCGAAATACCATTAAAAAATGAGAAAATGTTACAATGCAACTAATTAACAAGTTTAATTAAATTCGAACTATTTTGCAACAATAAATAAATAAATAAGAATTTAACAAGTTTAACTACTTTTATTATAAAATTCAAACAATTTTAATATAAAAATAACAATTAACTAGTTTAACAATTAAACAATTAACTAGTTTTATAGGAGAATAAGAAATGTAACAATTAACTAGTTTTATAGGAGAATAAGAAACATAACAATTAACTAGTTTTACAGGAAAATAAAAAATGTAACAATTAACTAGTTTTATAGGAGAATAAGAAATGTAACAATTAACTAGTTTAACAATTAAACAATTACCTAGTTTAACAATTAAACAATTAACTAGTTTTATAAATTTTAACTATGTGTGAAGTAGATAATAAATTTTATAAATATAATATACTCCCTCCGTCCCTTAAAGGTTTGCCAAGTTTGACCGGCACGTAGAATAATAAAGTAAAAACTGTGTGGTAGATATTTGTGCAGAGGAGAGAGAAATGGCAGAAGCCATAAATTGATTGATTAAAATAGAATGTGGCAAAGTTTTTGGGACAACCAAAAAAGGAAAGTTGGCAAAGTTATAAGGGACGGAGGGAGTATATAGTTATAAATTTGAGAAGATGAAGATGGAGAAGATTAGTAGAGAATAGAGATTAGAGAGTAGGGAATACTTGGAGAAGATGTGTAGTTAATTGTATTGAAGAAATTGAGTATTTATATATTTCTTGTACTCCCAACCCAGCTCGGGACCCCAGGGAGCCTCCCAACGGCTATAGAGCCATTTGGGTTGGTGGGAACCTGCTATAAGGCCTGTTTGGCTTGCTATTTTTTTTTAAATAAAGCCATTAGGCCCGGCACGGGCCCAAACCGGCCTGGCCGGTTCACATAAATATGGGCCTGTACCCGAACCGCCCTACCCGATCGGGCCAGTTCAAAGCCCGAACTGCCATTCTGTCACCCGGGCTGAACCGGGCCCGCACAGTCGTAGGCTGAGCCGGTTCAGGGACGGGCCGAACCAGTTTGGGCCACCCTAGCCCAAATCCCTAGTCCCGCCCAATCCTAATCCGATCGGCAAGATTCAATTTCATACTCTTCAACACAAGTCGGGCATTCTGAATCCCCATGGGCAAACTTGAGGGGGTATTGAGACACTATATTTGGAATATTTTATTTAGGGGTAGATTCGGGGCGGGTCGGGGTCGAGCCGCTGGTTCTGAATAGGTGGGCCCGGGATGCCACCAGGTCCGTTCCGGGTCCAGGCCGGGTAGCCACCAGTAAAAGTCCGGGCCTCGAGTCAATTTTTTTTTTCCTTTTCCTAATTAACGCCCCCCCCCAAACCACCCCGAAGGCCCGAATGGCCCAAAATACCCAGCCCAACCCAAAAAGTAAAAAAAAAGGGAAAAAATTAAAAAGTCCGGAACCGGGCTCGAACCGACCGGGCCGCTTCGGATTTTGGGTGACCCGAGCCCGCACCGGGTCAACCCGGACCGGTTACTGGCCGGGCCACCGGACCGGGCCGATTCAGCACAGTGTCGGTTCCGGGTCAGCCACCCGGCCCGAGTCCACCCCTTAATTTTATTCATGGAACTTTTCCTTATGTAATCTTTTTAATTTTACGATTGTAATTTGACTAGGATACTATTTCCTTGTTTCGTGGTTAGCAGATACAAAAGAACCGTAAATTATACAGTATGACCGGTATACGGTGAGCAACGTATACCCGGACTTTTTTCATTTGCTTTTGTTGTTAAAAATTGCTAATAACTTTTTTATTTTTGATCCAATTTTTATAAAATTTATATCAACATTTTTTATTTTTCATGATCTTTCAAATGAGACCAATATTGCTTATGTAATTTTAAGAAATTATCGAACTATTATACTTCGTATTAATGAGTATTGGATTATAAGGAAAATCGAACTAAATTTAATACAGAAAAATAATTGTGTAAATCACAATTTATCTTAAATTTGTGTATATAAAAAATTTATTGTATTATGTATTTATACATGTGAGTTACATATTTTTATACGTAAAGTTACATATTTTTACACGTAAAGTTACATATTTATACACACGAGTTGCATTTGGCTTGCCTGAACGCGAGTTACATAATTTTACACGTAAAGTTACATATTTTTACACGTAAAGTTACATATTTATAGACACGAGTTGTATTTAACCCGTCTGAACGCGAGTTACATATTTTTACACGTAAAATTACATAGTTTTACACGTAGAGTTACATATTTATACACACGAGTTGTATTTGACCTGACTGGGCGTGACTTAGATATTTCTACACGTAAAATTACATATTTTACATAGGTTAATATAATAATTTGATAATATGTTAAAATTACATAGGTAATATTGGTCTCAATTGAATGATCATGAAAAATAAAAAAATTTGATATAAATTTTATAAAACCCAAATCACAAATGAAAAAATTATTATAGTTTTTAACAATAAAATAAATAAATAAATAAATAATATGTTAATACATGTTTGATGTATACGGTGCTTCCAAAATGCCTAAAACAGTATGCCGGTATTATGGTTGGACTCGGGTCGGGCCACCCGGCCCGCTACTGTGCGGGACCGGGACCGGCCCGGTTCTCGGGTCCGGGTCGGGCCTAGGCCCGGGGGGGTAGGGCGAGTCCAGGCTTGGATCTCAATTTTGGTGAACCGACCCAGCCGGGTCGGGCCCGGGCCCGGGCCAAATTGAATTTTTTTTATTCTTTTTTTCATTTTTGGGGTTCCACCCAGGTTGGGCTTGATGGGTAGGATGTGTTTGGGGGGGTTTGGGAGGGTGGGGAAGGGGGGGGGGGGGGGGGGGGGAAGCAAAAAAAAAAATCCAAACCGGAGGCCCGGCCCGGTCCGGCCCAGCCCTGGACCGGACCCGGTGGCTACCCGGGCCGGTCCCGGGTCCACTATTCTTGAACCGCCGGCCCGCCCGTGCCTAGGCCCGACCTAGACCCGAGTCCATCCCTAGCCGGTATACGGTGCTCACCGTATACCAGTCATACGGTACAACAACTCAGTAGAAGTGTAGAACCGATCATATGCTGTATAAAAGACACACATACTTCATCATATTACATGGAATAATATCCTCTCTGCTTCTTCCTCTTCGTACATTAACTTATATGCGCACAAGGTTGTTATTCATCAGTATTCATGCATTTCATTTATTTCAAAAATATCGTAAACAATGTATATTTTTTTGTTAATTTGTTTTCCCGGGAATCTAGTTTCGACAAAAGAGTAAACAATAAATAATAATTGAACTGCAGAAGAGATGGGGGGGGGGGGGGGGGGTGTCGATTTTTTTTTTTCAAAAGGAGCCATCAAGAATCTCCCCTCCCTACTATGAAATGCATTACATTTACGCTTCTTCAATTAATTAATAATTTGGTGATTCATCAGTACGTCTTAGCCTGGCTTAACTCCTCCAGTCTTCTGAAAACCTTTTCCAATATGTTGTAGCACACCTTCGATGAGGTGCAGGGCCCGCACATCACATAAATTACATTGCCCAGGGGCCTCATGTAAACGCCGTCATCTCGGAGCTTGTGAAGAAGGTTTGAAGCACAGCGTGAAGCATACCTGCCATTCCCATTCATCAAGGTTTCAGGACAACATGAGAACCAGAGCAGCAATTGATAATAATGCATACAACAACTCATTAACAGAACACTTGAATTATAAGTGTCAGTTAATTGGTTTTATCCGTAGACAAATATGTTTGCTATCCATCCCACAACTTACGACGCTTTTTCCCGAGTCCCTCTCATTCTCAATCTCCATTTAATGCAACTTACTGAACTCCTGGGTTTTTCCAAGTCACTTTTTCAGACATCCTCAATATTTTATTTCTCGAGGCACGAATGCTTAAACTCCCTAATAGTTACTAAAAATTACTCCCTCCGTCCTCCTATCATTGTCCCATTTTACAATTTTGTCCCGAATGCAATCTTTGATACAGGAGAAAAATTGTCTGTGTAATCTAATCCATATATCTTACGGTACCCCCCTTTACCACAGAGCACGATTTAAAACGGTCAATTTTTCCATCAAGACCAACTTTAACAGTACATATCCACCATCATCCGACAATTGATATCCTAATAGGAAAGGAAACTAAGTTCCACGTCCCACTAGAATTAAGAGCCTCCATCTCAAGCAATGCAGCCTGAAGCCACTCCGGGCATAATATTGCCTCATGTGTGGTTTGCGTGAGGCAGTGTTAAATAGTTGTATGTGGGATGCGGATTCAAAATAGACCGTGTACCTTTTTGGAGGGCAATGGACAAACCATAGTGAGTGACATCTGAATCAGGAGTAGCTGATAGTGATGAAGACATGAGATGAAGTCCATATAGGCTATTAACTGTTAGAGACCAATCTTCACAGTAAACAGTAACCAATGTACAATAGCGGCAAACAGAAAGAAAGAGAAGAAAATACAGATCCAGACTCTTAGAGAGGCCTCACTCTCCCAATTCCCAGTCCAAGTTCTGCCTGCCTCTATTCTACTGCATCAACTCCTACTTATTATTCTTTTCCATTTGGGCTAGCCCAGTGCTATTTTAATTCAGGTCCTAAACCCCTTTTATTCTACAATATCGAAAGACCGATATTATTCTTATTACTAGTACTATCTAGGTCTCTATCATTACTCCCTCCTTTGACACCCACCTTGCCCTCAAAGTGGGGAGTGAGAAACAGCCATGCCATTCAGCTTCATCCTTGTGCCTCTCCCTACCCAGTACCTCATTGATTTCTGGATTAGTAGCTTCACTTCTTGAACCTTCATCATCACTTCCTCAGCCCCATATTCCCCTAAGATTTACACAGCTTTGCGGCCTTTACTTGCCCAGAACCTTGATGAGGAGAACCTCCAAAGGTAGCCTTAGAGATGGCCCAGACAGCCTCCTTCTTGATGTCAATTTCTGCATTTGAAAGGAAATGTACCACTGGAATGATGATAGATGCCTCAATGACTGAAACTTATCCTTTAGTTCATCCAATAGATACGAATGTACCCAACAAGCATCTGTCATAATATCTTCCTCATTCATAGGGATTAGTTGCTGAAGAACTCGCAATGCAGCTTTAACCAGGTCAAGTGGTGTTGGCGGCTGGCCTTGACAGATATTTAACAAAGTCCATGTAGCGTTTCTCGACATAGAAAGCTTTGCAGGCTCATTCAACTGACCTAGCAAGGGTTTAAGTGAACCATGACCACCAACCAGATCCTTACAGGTTGGAGCATCACCCGCAGAACCAAATAAGGCTGTAGAGGATGCAACAGCTGCATGCCACGCTTCAGCACGAACCTGCCATTTGCCTCCTAAACAACCTTCACCAATTCTAGTAGTACTCCAGAAAGTTATAGCCGGTTTATACATAATGTCAAGCCTAATAGATGCAGTGTGTTCATCTTCAAAGGAAACCTGTCCAATAAGTGCAATGGCTTTTGCTATCCCACACAATCTTCCCCTCTCACAATCCATGCGTAATAACTTGGCATCATACTGGCAGAATCAATATCAGTTGATAATACAGTTCTATCTTAAGTTTTAAGATCTGCAGTTAGCAGATCAACAGCTAACACACTGCCACCAACCAATACACATGTCACTCTGTTGGATACAGCCTTCATCAGTACCTCACTTAGGCCATGTGCAACTTCAGAACGCCCCACCTTGCTGCCATCAGATTTCAGAGTATCTAACAGCCAAAGCACCAAGTCTGGGAAATTTTCTTCTCCCATTCCCCTTATAAAAAAGCCCATAGCTCTTGCAGCAACAGAACAAACCTCTGGGGTAGAATCCATAATGTTCCCCTCTGCTACTTTATCTGTTCCCTCCGTTTGTGCAGTCCAGGTATCAAAATCTAGAGAATTGGTTCTCACAATGCTTCCTACTCGTTTCTCTTTTCATGAGATACTGCAAAATGATCTACTCGTCGATGCCTGGTGGTAGCCTCATGTTTAATGTTTGATTGTTTCCCTTTTCTAGGACACTGATGAATGCTGTATCTGTCACTTTGCTATTAATTCCATTAATAACAGCATTATACGAGGTAGCTTGAGACTCATCTACTTGTCCCGTGACAGTAATGACTTCCTACTGAGCGAAGCCTATAGATATTTTAAGAACCACTTTCATCTGTATGAATTAAATAAAAAAGAGACGCAACCCTTTTATTGACCCGTCTTGGAAAGGATTGACGAGGTTGATTTCCAATGTCACATGACTCACAAACTAAAGATGAGATACTTGAGAAATCAAGAACCATACATTGAACTTTTGAGAGGATTGAATGATCTAAACGATTATGTAAGGTAATTACAGGTTCCGTCGACAAACAAACAATTGGATCAAGAGAATGAAAATGATACAAGCCTTAACATTCACGCGCGAAGCCAATCGTCTTCCTTGTTCGACAGTGTTGTAGTCACTGATTAGCAAAAAAGGTTATAGAACAATCAACAGCACATGTGATTTCACTAACACAGACAAGGTTAAAAGGGGTATTAGGAACATACGAGACTAAGTCTAATGGTAAGGATGAAAGTGTGAGTACTTGCCTAGCACCCTTGGCCGAAGTTTGATGGTCATTAGCGAGAGTAATTAAAGGAATGTTCCAGTGCTTGATAATGTGAGATAAAAGATGGGGAATTGGGATTGCCTGAAATATGGTCTGAGGCACCTAAGTTAATGATCCATGAACCCTTTGTGTTTGAAACACAAGTTGTATGCATAACACGTGAAGAGAAAGTCAAATGGGCTGACTTAAACTTCTAATAAGCTTCGTATTCGGCAAGCGGTAGCACAATGGGAGATGGCGGGATCTGAGCAACATTGGTTGAGCTAGGAACTCTCTCATGTAACTTTCAACACTTGTCTTTAGTATGCCCAATCTTATGACAGAAATCACACTTAGGACGATTCCATCATGGGTATCCCTTGTGATTTCCTCCGTCATTCCCTAGACCTTGGGATGCAAGAAGTATAGAGTTACTAGAACATGGTTCAGTAGATATCGGGGTAACTGAAAGAATTCAGGCCAAATCCTCTGCCATGATAAGAACAATAGAGAAGGAGAGAATTTGCTCATGTATCGATAACAACTCTGGGTTAGGACCTACCAATGTTAAAAGCTTAACAACTTGTTGTCTTTAATGAGTTGTTTGTCCCTATCTTCTGTGAAAGGTTGAATGGTACTATACTCAAATAGTAAAGACTTAGCCTGTCCTAGAAAATCTTAAACCTTCAAGTCTTGTTGCTTGAGTGTGTCATCTTTGCATGAATCTCAAATAGGCTTTTCCCAAATCTATTTACAAGTCAAATATGATTGATATGTAGGATGAAATTTCAAGCCCATTGATTGCCACAAAACGTTGCACAACAATGCATTGATGTTCTCCCATTCGGTCCTCTTAATTTGACCGCACTAGCATATGTAATCAAGTAATCGATTTTCTCTTTACCTTGGAACCATATCTCCACAGAAATAACCCGTGATTGATAATGAGCACTTCCAATCAAACAACCTGTAGTGATAATTGGAACCGAAGCAAACTAAGAAAAACCTATAGGCAATTTTTGATTTTTTGTTTACTTTTTCTTTTTTGTTTCTGTTTTTTATTTAATGAAAAAAGACTTGCAGACTGGTGGATTGAAATGTAGCAGAAAGTAGTTTGAATCGAATGCAACACCAAATCTTCAAGCAGCAACAAACAAAACGAGATGGACAACAGGAGCAGCAGGACAAATAGATCGACACAAGGGGTTAAACATAGACCTTTATCCTTGAAAGCGAGACAATGACACAATAGAGCGGCGTACGGATAGCGGCGGCACGTGTGTATGGCTGAGGTGGTGCATCGATTATCAAATGAAGGCCCTGTTTGTGTGGTTCTGGTCACCATAAACCCAAGACCATCATAGTGTTGGCGGCGTCGATGCCATTAAAAAGAGAGAGATCTGTAAAAAAAAGGGAGAATTGCAGCAGCGGTCTTTAGTTGCGCACAGTGATCGGTGGTGGGTCGTGATGGTGAGCTGAGCATGACAGTAGGTTTATACTACTACTGAAAGCACTCTAATGCGCAACACGACTACTATTCATGCTGGAATTTCTTGTCGAGAATCTACGGCTCTACACCGGAAGAAAGATTATAACAGTGCCTAAGATTTGCCATATTGGCTTTGATACCATGTGAAAAGTGTGATTGTATTTATTACTCTTAATATCAAAATGCTATACAAGTGCCTATATTTATAGCTATATTAGAGCATTAGGATTCCCTATACAAATGGACTAAGACCAATACAGCTAGGGTTTCCACAATTTTGAAGTATACAATTTGAAGATGCAAAAAGAAAATTCACATACCCAGCACTGGAACTTTCTACTTGAAGCTCAATGGCACATAGGGTTCCTAAGGCAACCACCCTACTAATTGCTGGGAGTAAAGAGATCTGTCTAACTATGTTTTCATCCCACATCTGAAAAAGTTCAATCACAAAAAATAAGGATAATATAATTCATGACCTATAAATAAGATGATGGTCAACAGCATAATTATAGTAAAACAAAGACAAAAAGCCAAATTAATTAATACATACAGTACATTATAGAGAATTGGGGTTTTTCAAATACGGTAAATATTGACGTTTTATTCTATACCAGTGCTTTTTTGTAGCCTTTCAAGAATGTACATTACTACATACAAAATCTATAAATTAAATATTCAATTTCCTTAAATCTTCTCAAAACTGGTGCTAATATGATAAGAGTGCACTTAGTAAGAAAAAGAGGGTTTGAAAATGAGAGACGGTGGAAGTCATGCACTACAGAGAGACTCATACAAGACAGTACGAGGAAAAGAGTCAGTTTGAAGGCTTCACACTACTTCAGATTAAGTGTTCTCAAATGCCTTACGATTTATGAATGATGGAGTAATTCCTTATTTGAAGACAAGACTAATTGAAAAATAATTTGAAACCCTAGCAATTACTCATTAAACAAAGTGCAACTAATATTGAACTAATTAATAAAAGCGAGTAATGCATTTGTATCATAATTATAATGCCTGCATTTTGTAATCTGATAGTGTAGATTATTACAGATCATTCTAATTACTCACCCGATTGTGCATTTATGAGGAGATATCTTAGAGATATCAGAATCTCTAAGTATCCCCAAATATCTTCTTTATTAGGGAACCTTAATTAGGAGGATTTCTTATTTCACTTTTCTCAAGCTATATATATTCTGTAATCTTCTCTTTGTATTACACAGAACAAATAAATAGAATACATTCTTCTTTCTCGAGTTCTTTCTACATGGTATCTATGGGATGACCACCGAGAGAGATGGATCTATCTCAGTCACCTCTGAACATTCAGAGGTTGTCCCAACTGGAGATGGCAGCAACGAAAATGTCAATGGAAGCACAGTCACCACTCCTAAACAATCAGATTCGATTATTACTTGCCATAAACTCAATGGTAGTAATTATCTACAATGATCCTAGTCAGTTATGATGTATGTGTGTGGAAAACACAAGGAGGACTATTTAACCGGTGATGCACCTGCTCCGGATCAAGGAGATCCGGGCTACAAGAAGTGCAAAAAAGAGAACTATACTATGATGTATCTAAGTAGCACGGAAACGGGAAACGGGAAATGGCAAACGTCGGAAACACCATTTACCAAAAATACAGGACATGAAACGCGGGGGAAACGCGCAAATATTAAAAATATAGGGGTTAATTTATAAATATTATATATATATATATATATATATATATTTGTGAATTTTTTTATATGTATATATATATATATATATATATATATATATATATTTACAATTCAAATTTAATCAATTAAAAAAACTGCCAGAAGGATTAAGTTTGCCAATTGCCACTGCCCACTAAGCGTGCGTTTCATTTTATAAACGAAGGATGGGGAGGATAAAAAACCAGTGCTCTGAAATCACTCACATCACATATATACCTGAACAGAAGCAGGCGAGCGGACGATGACCTGCGAAGAGTGAAGAGGCGACGCCCGTCGATGACCTGTGAAGCCCAAATACAACGAACGACCTTTGCCCTTTGGAGAAGCCGGCGAACTCTGCGTACGGAAGGAAGACTGCGTAGGCCTTAGGGTTGAAGAACGAAGAGCGGATGATGAAAGGTTTGATTGTTCCGTTTGAGCAGGCCCTAAAATTTATCGGATCTGTGTTTAAATTTTTGGAAACACGTTTCCAAAAAATTAAAAAATTGGGAAACGGCCCCGATTCGCGTATCACCCGTTTCCTGCGCTCGGGAACGTTTCCGGAACGGGGAAACTCTCCACCCCCGGCGTTTCCGTGCGTTTCAGTGATGTATGGCTCATTAATTCTATGACAACCAGTATAAGGGAAAATTTCCTACTATACAAAACAACTCAAGAGATTTGGGAGGCTGTGACAGAAACAAACTCAACTTCATATAACACTTCTGAATGATTTGCGATTGAATCAATGCTACATAACCTTCAGCAGGGAGAATTGAGTGTAATTCAATACTTCAACAACCGTGTGAGATTCTGGCAGCATCTTGATGTGTTTGAGACATACACTTGGTCATGTTCTAAGGATAAGAAGCTATATCAGGAGATCTGTGAGAGGAAAAGAGTCCAAATTCCTATCAAGCTTGGCCAAGAGTCTAGATGAGGTTAGGGGTAGAATAATGGGAAAGAAACTCACACTTTGAGAAGCCTTCTCAGAAGTCAGAAGAGAAGAAAGCAGAAAGAAGGTAATGATGGGTCTAAAATCTCAAGGCCAATGACAGAGCATTGAAGGGTCAGCCTTATATACCTCTTCCAAACAGATTGAAAACAAGAAAAAGGGGAAGCCATGGTGTGATCACAGTAACAAACCAGGCCATACCACAGAAACATGCTGGAGTTTGCATGGTAAACCTAAAGATTGCAAATCAAGCAACGTGAAAGGAGCATATGTAGCTACTGGAGATAAAGAAGACATGGGCACTTCTAACTCTACTGCATTTACCAATGAGCAGATTGAGGTTCTTCAACACCTAATAAGTCAGAGCAAAGGGCCTAACACCACCAACTAGCTTTACTGCTCAAACAGGTAATGTCTTAACAACCCTAGTTGCACAGAGTCAGCCCTATTGGATTATTGATTCAGGGGCATCAGATCATATGACTGGAGACAGTAATTTTTTTGTTGAATTGTTCCCTATAAAGAATAATATGATAGGAATATGGCTTAGTAGGCTAATAATAAGAAATAATAATAATAGTAGGGTACATTTAGTAGTATAAATAGAAGGGAAGGGCAGTTAAGTAAATAGCTATTAGTTGGTTATATGCTTTTATCCCTGCGTGGATACTTTTACTATAAATAGTAGGCCAATAGCTAATTAAGGCAGACTGTTATTTTGAGAATTGTTGCCTTGTTGCCTAAGTCCCGGTTGCCTAAGAAGTCCCTGTCCCTGTCCCGGAGTTTCCTACGGATTACCCTTTCAATAAACTGCAGTTTCTCTACTTTCATATTAGATCTGTGTTGCTTGTTACTGCTTGTGCTCAGATTATTACCAGGTTCCTATCAATGGTATCAGAGCACTCCTTCCTGGCATCCTAATCGATCGATCAACAGCATCAACGATCTGGAGGGATGGAAGAAGATTGGACACCAGAAATGGAGGCTCGCTTGGATAAGTTCGAACTGGAGATGAAGACGGCTATGGCAAACCTCGCAGTTTCCATGACCGCACAGATGCAGAAGTGCATCGCGGATTCTATGGCAGCGATTTCAGCATCTACAGCCGCGAAGAAGGAACAAAGGGGAAGATCACGATCATCGCATCGTCCGGCTTCTAACAGTTCGCAGATGCGAACGAAGTCTTCCTGTGCATCGCGAAATACGCAGGGTCAGTCGCGAACTTCCTCCCTCAGTTCGCAGTCGCGAACGGCTGTTCCCAGTTTGCCATCGCAAACTGTGTCTCTTGGTTCGCAGCTTTCATCTCAGGCTTTCTCTCCAGGGACTGCATCACCGAAAAGGAATGCCGAGTTGAAACCGGTTGAACCATCTATCAAGGAACCAGATCCAGAAGATGATACGGCTCAAACTACAAGATATCAGTCAAATCATCATGAAGGTTTGAACCCTCCTAAGGAGGATGAAAATGGAATTTGTGTGGGTAAAGTGAAGGATCAACTGTCAAGGCAACTGGAGGAGCAGGTAAAAGTCACATATAAAACAGAGGAGGATTCAAGCACTGGAGTGGAAATCAAATATCACTATGATGAATGTTGGGCCTGATGTTTTTGGATTTCCTATTGGGCCCAATTCCATAATGGCTCTGTCACAACCTTTTCGAGTGGGTGCAGGAATTGGTGCATTCTCACCTGAAGTTGTGTTGCTGAAACTGGGGCAAGCTGTTTCTGGAGCTCCTAATGATGAAGGTTCCAATCCACAAGACATGCAGCTTCTTACTTCACCCAGCGATGATGTTCATGAGCAGGCTGTTTGGGCTTTGGGTAATATTGTAGGTGATGCTCCAACCTGTGGAGATTTTGTTCTGGGTCTAATTGAAGCTGATGGGGAGATACTTTATCACACAGTATACAATGGCAGAGACAGAATGACTGACCGCAACAAGGATTTCATAGTTGAAACTCCTACCTGGGATTCATCACTTTATACCCGACCTGATAAGCCTAAACATGATGTCTGGAAGGCACTCAAATTACTCATTGATGCAGGAGCCGGGCCTGCGGGAAGACTCACTTACAGAGGTGAATTGGTAGACTTGACCAGACAGTCATTGTCCAAGCTTGAAAATCAGATTTACATTAATGCAATAGCTGGAGACACTCATCCTTGTCCGCAGGATTCTGACATACTGAAGCTCGGTGCTGATAGACTAAGAGATACATCTTTACTGATGACAAGATGCACATTGGAGAGGCTAATGGAAGTATACAGTGTGGCTGGAAGTATATCAATAATTGATATGGAAATTGTTTCTGACTTTGCTATTGAGATGACAAAGAGATTCACATTTGATCCTTTTGTTCATCCAAGGAATGTTGGAACCCGTAACCAGATTGTTTATTCTGCTCATGGAGGTGAAATTGCAGCTGCCTTTTTGTGGGGTCGGGATCATGTTTTTTCGGGTACAAGTTACACCTCTATGGGTTACTACCATATTAATGCTGGGACTGAAAATGTTGCTTCTGCATTATCTACAACAAGCCGTTGTCTTTCTCTCTTTGGTATAACACTAGCAAAGAGGAGCTAGTCCGCGGTCTCCCACTCTATTTTCCAAGAAAACAAGTGAAAGTTAACTCTACGACTTGAGAATGTGAAGTTACAGAGAGGTGTGGGTGGAGTCTTTCAGTGGGACTTGATTGGAGGGATGTTGTGTGTACCCAAAATGCGGCAGAAGATGACATTCTTCCACTGGACAGCTGCATGGTTGTTATG